TTTGAGCCAATCACCAGGAGACTGGGAGCTCTAGCCCCGCCTTTGGCATGAAAGCCCTCTGGGGGATTTTGAGCCAGTCCCTCTTTCTCAACCCAACCCACCTCGCAGGGTCGATGTCACAGGGAAAATGGGAAGAAGGACTACTACGTGCCAGAATTGTTCAAACGAAATGCACTCTTTTTTCACCGAGTGAGGTTTGTGCCTTCTCTTCTTGTTCCTTCTCCAGATCGTCATATTTGAGGAGCGTCTCGGAGGCCGCATCATCCATTCCACAGACCTGGCTTTTTTGGGGAGGGTTCAGTACGTGACCTGAGCTCTTCCTGATTGCCCCACCCTCTACTGGTAGTAATGGTTAAGGTTATGCTTCTTAACTGATGGTGGGAGGTAAGAGAGTCGGGATGCGGACCCGCCTTCCCTCCCGTTGTGAAAACTGTGCCCCGTATCCTTATATTTTCTAGTTATGGGTGGAGTTTGGCCAAGGAAGGCCCCGCCCGGTGAGTTAATTTAGGAGGTTGACGAAGAGTACCTGAAGAAAGAAGGATGCCCAGATAGTTAGGAACGTTCTCCTAAAGGAACTCAAACTTTACTACAAGTTCTCGTGTAAACACTAGATGCTAAGGACCTGACAAAAGGAACGAATGTTCGCGCGAAAGATCCGAAGAATTGAAACGGCCGATCTGCAGCGGGTTAGACTCAGACCGGCCTTTAGGCTGTGTCTGGAAAAGGAACACGTTTTGGTTTTTTGGATCTCTAATAGTCCACGTTGGGTCTTTTCAGACAGTTGAAGCTGCCAGTCTCAGGTCCCTGAGTTTGGTCCTTAGGAAAGGCTGCGAAGAAATGTTGTCGTTTATTTTATATATATATTTTTTGCATTCTTTCGGTCGTTCCAACCCAGATCATAAACGAAGGACCGCCATGTTTGGGCATATAAATGGGGGACTTCCATGCAAAGCCAACGGGAATCGCATTTCAGCGACATGTTGATGGATTTTTGGCGGTGGGCAGGTTGGAATTGGACCTGCCCCAAGCTGCACAGAACGCCTGTGACCTCTGGAAGCCCCTTGCCCCACGCCCCTCGCAACTCTCTCCCCAGCTCGGCCACATGGAGGACCGCCAATCATAAAGGATGGGTGCTAGGCCAGGAGTGGGTGGGATCGGGATGTACCTTCACACGTACTCAACCTGCTGCTAAACTCTCGGAGCGCCCCTTTGAGCCAGGGGGGAGGTCCAACTTGAGCCCCACACGTGTAGAGAGCCCACCACCAAAGACCAGCCCCAAACGGTGCTGTTTCAGAAAATAGACACATCTGGAAAAACATCACACCATGTTTCACACCCCCAGGTTGCGATTCTGTGCAGCGGGCTTCGTCCGTTTTGCCACAGGCGCCCCTCCCTCGGCAAAATAGGACTGGCAACTCTCTCTATATCCACAGCCCTCCTTTTATCTTTTCTCGATCGGATCTCCTAAACTGGGGAATGAGTCCACAGTCCGAACACGGCTCCGTTTTGGAGATAATCCTCGGATTAGGACGGCTTGCGTCAAGAATTCGACCGCGTCTCCTGTGCTTCCGAGGGAGGGGGTCTGAAGGATTGGAGATTCAGCCCCGGAAAGGGTGCTTTTGCGTGCATTTCGGAATAATTAGAAGAGGAATTGGATCTGTTTTTTTTTAAAAAAAATGATCTTTTTTGTGCCTTTTTTTTTTTTAAAAAAAAGAGGGACAGAAAGAGAAAAGGCAACATGGCTACATTCTCCTAATATGACGATCCCCTCATCCAGAGGTTTTCAAAAATTGACAGCTTTAAGACTTGTGGACTTCAACTCCCAGAATCCCTCCTCCAGTCCTGTTAGCTTGGGAACTCTGGGAGTTGAAGTCCACAAGTCTTAAACTTTACAGGTTTGAAGACCCTTGCCCTAATATGATGCCCTCCCAAGTGCCTTGAGGCATAACCTGTGACCCCAGAAGGCCAGTGGATGATGGATCTTGTACTCCCTACTAACCTTGGAAGCACCGGTTGGAAAAAGGCGCTTTAAGCCATAAATGTCTAGTCTTTGTGTCCCACTGTCTCCTCCATCAATCAAGACCTCAGTTTCCCTGTTGGAGCCAAGGGTTGTAATAACCGTGGACACAATCGGTGTCTGATGTTGACCTCCAGCCAGCCTGCCATTGGTTGTATGTTGCAGGCACCTATCCAAACACGTGTGGCCACACCCAAAATAAATATGGCGCCTGGTTTTCCAGCGATCGTTCATGTTGATTGTTCACAAGGCTGTTTGAATTGTGACCCTTTATAGCTTAAAGCCTTGTGGACTTCAACTCCCAGAATTCCCCAGCCAGGCCATCATGGCTGGCTGGGTAATTCTGGGAGTTGAAGTCCACAGGTCTTAATGTTGCCAAGGTTGGCCACCTTTTCTTTAGCCACCGCAGGCCCAAACAATGTTGAGGTCTTTTCTGGCTGTTCTTTCGTTCTATTTATGAAATTAACTACAATTAAACTGAAAAATATAAGAAAGGTACAACTGTTAAAAACACAAGACAAAAGAAGGGGAAAGCAGCACCCTTTCCACCTGTCCCACGTTCTGCAACTCCCTGGCACCCTGATAGCAAAGATTTGAATCTTTGGAGGCCTCCATCTGCCACGTGCTCCTTTGCAACAACAACAACAACAAAAAAAAAAAAAAACAGAAGGAAAATTTGGATGAATCACTGAAATTTTCCTTCCGGTCTTACGATTTGCTGCAGCCTGGCAGAATTATAGTCATAAAATGGAGAGAGAGGAAGGGTGAAAGAAGAAGAGAACGCACACGTACACACCAGCAGAAAGAACAGCAATTGGGAAGATGTGCTTCCGTGAGAAAACCGAATTTCCTTTTTTTTTTTTTAAGGAAAAAAAATCGCCTCTCGTTTCTCCTTTCATCAAAGGTTTGGGGCTGGTGTTTTCGTTTTGGAAAGCCTGCAGATTAAATTTCCGTATCGTTGGATATGAATTCGACTCAAATGTTGTTTTTTCCCTCACCGACAGCGACCGTGGTTTTGAATTTTTTCCCCCATGCAGTCACATATTAAGGCCTAGTTCGTTTGTTGGTTCAGGTTTCCCCACCTCCCCCTGTGACTGATTTGCTAGATATTTGTAATAAAAAAAGAAAATGTGCCTCTATTAAATTATTTATTGGTACCACAGTTGTTTTCCCTATCCCAAGTGGGCTGCCGTTAGTCCCAAGCACAATTTGTGTCGACGACGCCTTATGCATCTTTCAAGAAGAGATTGGACTCCCATCGGTCAGAAATGGTGTAGGGTCTCCTGCTTGGGTAGGCGGTTGGACTACATCAGGGGTCACCAACCTTTTCGACCTCAGGGACCACCCAACTCACAATTTTAAATCCTGCAGACCAGAGACCCTGGGAAAATCCCCCAAAAAGTCTGCAGGAAAATTCCCCACAGCGTTTTCCTACCGATCGATGGTTCTTTATTTGGGATGTCAAGATACCGTCTCCAGGTCCATTCTCGGGGAGAGAGAGAGACTTTTGGCTTCATGCAAGGAAAGCAGCAGAAGTCTGTCTTTCTCTCCCCCAAACTCCACCAGAAATGAGTCTTTGTCAGACTTGTCGTACGGGCGCAGCCTCTTGGAACAGGATGCCTTGCAGGGTCCCAAAGACTCATTTCATAGCAGACTTTGGGGGAGAGAAAGAAAGACTTTTGCTGCTTTCCTTGCGTTCAGCCAAAAAGCATAAGAAGAAAGAAGCAGCCAGGTGAGGTGCGTGGGGCGAGTGGGGCAAGTTTCCCCCCTCTGCCCTTTCTCCCCTCCTCTTACTATCACGTTCACAATATAAGCGACACAAGCTTTGTGTTCCCGCGGGCTATGTGGGCGGTGCAACTTTGTGTTCCCACGCAGCCTGGATTAATTTCTTTTGGGGGGGGGGTGGTGACATTTCTCTGCAGACCACCAAAATTTTCTCATGGACCCCCAGTGGTACCCAGTTGGTGACCACTGGACTAGATGACCTACCAGGCCCCTTCCAACTCTGATTATCTGTTACCTTAGTCACTCAGGTTAAAGATTTAAAAAAATAAGCCTATTTTTTTCCTTCTTATTTTGCTGTACAATTTTACATGACTTTCCTCTCAGCTGGAAGATACAATTGTGCTTTGCGTTTCTAAATGTAGATATATTTAGAGGAAAGCCAACGAATAATTGCGTGTCGGTGACTGAGATGGAGACCAAAACAAAAAACCAGGATCCAGAACAGGGAAGTCCTCGACTTGGGGACAGTTCCTTTAGTGACCGTTTGAGATTAACAAACGGTCACTGAAAAAAAGGCCCATTTTTTCCGAATGTTTCCGCCTTTCCCACCAGCCATGTGATCACAATTCAGACCTTTGACAACAACTGACTCACATTTAATGACGGTTGCAGTGGTGACCACCTAATGACCAAAATCGATGGGAAAAAGACAGGGTTGTCATACAGGGCAAAACTGGCTTCGCAAATGCCTCGCTTAGCAACGGTAGCACTGGGCATAAGTCAAGGACTACCCATATCAAGGGGCCGCTTTGAAGAAGACCTCTCACCGGCAAGGGATGATCTGATGTATTTGATCTGTTGGCAGGAAGAGATCCAAGAGGGAGAACTTGCTGACTTTCTTTAAAAATCGTCCCGTTTTCATGGGTGGCTTTTTTTTTTAAAAAAAAAAAACACAACAGGAGGGCAATATATTCGATTCAATTCCTTTTTTTTTTTTTTGTGCCGCTGAAATTTCGCAGGATAAAATCCAAAGATGGTTACTGCCATTCTTCCCACCAATCCTCACGCACGTCCCTCATTCTGATAGCCTCCCTCCCCAAATCTTTATATCCCCATAATTTCAGCACGTACCAGGAAAAATAAATCGTGCGAATAGCCCAGGGTGTGTATCAAGGCTTCGTGTTTCTGCTGTTCCCTCTCTTCTGTACCCCTTTTTTTCTCCCTGCCTTTTCCTCAGAATAAGCTGGGGAAACAATTCTCTTAAAATCTCAAGCCTGTTTTTCAAGTATAAACTGATATAGTTTTAAATGCATCTTCCTTGGATGTAGGACATTAAGCACAGAGAGGCTCTGGTTGCAAACTATCTTTCCACCTGCAGGAGATTGTGTGTGTGTGTAAAGTTTTCGCAGGTATTTATATGTACAGTATTCAGCTTTGTTCGGGTATTTTCCCACGTCATTATAGTTGTGCTTTTAAAGTTGTAGCGACGTTTTGGCAGAATCTCATCTGCCATCGTCGAGATTCTGCTGAACAATATTAAAAGCACAACTATAATGACATGGGAAAATACCTGAACAAAGCTGAATACCATGTATGTATGTATGTATGTATGTATGTATGTATGTATGTATGTATGTATGTATATACATAAATGTAAAAGAAGAAACAGACATCCTGCGATCTCCAGAGCTAAAAATTATATTTATTGTACTTACTAAGCTTTAGTCAGACATCATCAGAGTATTAAGCTACCATTACAGAGATCTCTACCTTTATATATCATTAATCAATTTATCGCAGGGTGTCTGTTTCTTCTTTTACAAATATACTTGGAAATATCTATCAATAAAAAATAATGAATTTTGACACCTCATTCAGTTTAGGGCAGAGGTCTCCAACCTTGGCAACTTTAAGACTTGTGGACTTGTAACTCCCAGAATTCCTCAGCCAGCTTTGCTTTAGAGACTCCTGGTCTAGGGCACCGAGTGATGAGGTGGCCCAGAGGTGGAGCTCTCGCCTCACAATCAGGAGATTGTGAGTTCGATCCTAAGTAGAGGCAAGGTATTTCTCTCTCGTGGGGACTCTGAGAATATATCTGCGGAACAAAACTCCACATTGGTGACAGGAAGGTCATCCAGCCAGTAAACACCCCGCTTCATTCACTTGCCCAGACTCCACCCCGCAAGGGATTATGGGGTCATTAAAAGAAGATGATTCAATCTAGGGCACGATTTCTCAACCTTGGCCATTTTGAGCTGCGTGGACTTCCAAACTCTCAGAATTCTGGGAGTTGAAGTCCACCTATCTTAAAAGTTGAGAAACATTTAAGCTAGACACATTTTTGTTTTTCTTTAGAAGGGTGAACTTCAATTCCCAGAATTCCCCAGCCAGTATGCTTCTGACAGGCTGCCCAAGGGTGTTCCTTTGTTGTTGTTAGCTGCGAAGTTGTGTCCGACCCATCGGGACCCCGTGGACAACGTTCCTCCAGGCCTTGATGTCCTCTACCATCTTCGGGAGTCCATTTAAGCTCACGCCGACTGCTTCAGTGACTCCATCCAGCCCCCTCCTTCTCTGCCGTCCCCTCCTTCTTCTTTGGCCCTCAATCATTCCCAGCATGAGGCTCTTCTCCAGTATCAATGTCCCTTCTAATCCCCTTCTGTTTCTAATATCAATGGCAGATGATTGAGGAATCTGACTAATCGATAAAACTGACTTTTGCCCTCTTGCTGATGTTTGCATTGCTCATGTTTTGCTGAAGGGCCCTTGGGGGGGGGGGGAATCCGGCATCTCCATCACTCTGCTTTTTATCCATCGTTGTTTCATTTTATTTTATTGGATCGTTTCCAGAAGGTCAGGCATAAGTGAGCTGCTGTTGTTTTTTAAATACTGATTTATTAATTTATTGATCTGTTGTTGTTTTTTCCCTCTTCCTCTGCTCAAGAACCCAAGCTGTTCTCT